CATCTTAAACAAAGTCATAATAATGAAGTGTTGTAACAAGAACATTTCAAAAAATATTTCTTTTCTACCCTTTTCAAATTCTACTTTTGGTTATCATAAAGTTAAGTTCATAATGATTTTAGTAAAGTTCGGCTTTTGGTTTCAGTGCAAAAACGATTGCTAGCTCATGTCACAAATGTTGAGAGTCTCATGCAACCCACACGGTCGACAGGAGAGTTTGTCATCCGCAAGTATCATTCCCTCTGGGCAGGTGCAACGAAATCCACCTGGAAGATTTTCACAACCATAAATGCAACCGCCACGATTGATCTCGCATTCGTTGATATCTGAAAGAGGAGCACGAACAAATGTGAACGATGTTAGCTTGTGTTAACTCGAGTAACAAAAAAAAACGCCTTTGAATTACGTGTATAACACGTTTTTTTAGAATAAAATTCACTTACTAACTCAAAAATTTATTTTTTTTGTCTCCCTTCAAAACATCACACTTCCTGCTTTCCCAACCCTCCCCTCAAAAAAGGGAAGGCCTAATACCACCTACCTGTACTAACTTGAGAATTACAGCGGAAACGCTACCGATGTGTGTGTATGTGTATGCTTTTTTCTCTATTGTTTCCTCAGGAATCGCAGATTTTCCTCCTAAGAGTAGTCTGCGTGGATATCAGTTTTATAAAAAGGAGGATAGGAGCATAGACGCCACATTTTTTGCTCCATTTAAGATCCGTATACCAAGGGCAATCAGCGAGTACAAAGGTCTCCCCAACTTTTATCTTGACAAGTTCGTCATAAAGCGACATATCTTCCGACAAATACAATCCAAATGAAGTGGAGATGGGGGGAAAGGGAAGTCCGAAAAGATGGAAGGGTAAAAAGTAAGAAAAGAGTTTCATTTTCAAAGATTATAGGATTAGTGCAAGATCAAATCACCTAAGCTAGATGAAGCGCTCAAAATATGCTATTTTAACGGGTCGAGGACGGGTGGGAATCCTTTTTTTCTTTCTCATCAATTGCAGTGGATCAAATTACAGTAGACAGATTGATACATTACCCAAACGGAGTAATTTAGCACAGTGAGTGTCATTTTACCATTTGGCAGTTACCTAGGCAATGACGTTGATCAGGAGCAAGTCGGTAGCCGGGTGGACAGCGACAGTAATAACCTCCAGCCATGTTGCAGCATTCACGTTCACATCCTCCATTGTCTTTTCGACACATGTCATCAGCTATACAGGCAAGAGGAATGCGTAATACATCGTATTTTAACCGGTGAAAAGTCAATAAGCTGTTCTTCTCTACGTCCATTCAACTCACCATACTGACATCGAGGCCCGGAGTAACCTTTTGGACACATGCAAGTTGTCAACTGACCATTCTCATAGCAGATTCCTCCATTAAGGCATTGAGTAGTCTTCAGCATGGCATTACAGTTGGATTCTTTGCGAGTGAGTGGGGCGGAGGCATCGGAAGGCGAGGAATGGTGAGAGAGACAAAATACAGTGAAATGGGAGAGAAGACTTTATAACAATGTGTCTGTCATTTCAATGACAACATGAGTTGGGAACTTTTTTTACCAAATTAACTGCTAGTTATGCTAAACTTGTTCATAAAACAGTCAAATTATGTTTGAGAAATTAAAAAAACGCTATGC